ACAAAATTATTTGTCCGCATCAACCAGAACTGACCATATTTGCACTTTATTATGTAAATCTTTATAGCCGCATAAGTAAATGAGTTATATTTTCATGTAAGGATGGATTGTATAATACAAATGATATTAATATTGGCCCATAATGACTAAAAAGTTTTGTTCGCATCAATTTAGAGTGCCAGCATGTCCTCTTTTTATTCAAAATATTGAATCGTAAACAAATTTCAGTAGTTTTTATACATCAGACTGACTGGAATAACAAACTGATTTGTCTGCATCAACCAAAACTGACCATATTTGCACTTTATAATGTAAATCTTTATAGCCGCATAAGTAAATGAGTTATATTTTCTTGTAAGGGTGGATTGTATAAAACAAATGAAAGCAATATTGGAACGTTATGACTAAAAAAATTTGTTCGCATCAATTAAGAGTGCTAGCATGTCCTCTTTTTATTCAAAATATTGAATCGTAAACAAATTTCAGTAGTTTTCATACCTCAAACTGACTCATATAACAAAATTATTTGTCTGCATCAACCAAAACTGACCATATTTGCACTTTATTATGAAAATCTTTATAGTCGCATAGTAAATGAGTTATATTTTCATGTAAGGATTGATTGAATACACAAATAATAGCAATATTGGATTATAATGACTAAAAAATTTTGTTCTCATCAATTTAGAGTGCCAGTTTGTCCTCCTTTTATTCAAAATATTGAATTGTAAACATATTTCAGTAGTGTTCATACCTCAAACTGACTCGTATTACAAAATTATTTGTCCGCATCAACCAAAACTGACCATATTTGCACTTTATTATGTAAATCTTTATAGCCGCATAAGTAAATGAGTTATATTTTCATGTAAGGATGGATTGTATAATACAAATGATATCAATATTGGCACAAAATGACTAAAATTTTTGTTCGCATCAATTAAGAGTGCCAGCCTGTCCTCTTTTTTATTCAAAATATTGAATTGTAAAAAAATTTCAGTAGTTTTCATACATCAGACTGACTCTAATAACAAAATTATTTTTCCGCATCAACCAAAACTGACCATATTTGCACTTTATTATGTAAATCTTTATAGCCGCATAGAAAATGAGCTATATTTTCATGTAAGAATGGATTGAATACACAAATGATAGCAATATTGGCATATAATGACTAAAAAAAATGTTCGCATCAATTGAGAGTGCCAGCATGTCCTCTTTTAATTCAAAATATTGAGTTGTAAACAAATATCAGTAGTTTTCATACATCAGACTGACTCGAATAACAAAATTATTTGTCTACATCAACCAAAACTGACCATATTTGCACTTTATTATGTAAATCTTTATAGACTCATAGTAAATGAGTTATATTTTCATGTAAGGATGGATTGTATCATACAAATGATATCAATTGTGGCATATAATGACTAAAAAATTTTGTTTGCATCAATTAAGAGTGCTAGCATGTCCTCTTTTTATTCAAAATATTGAATCGTAAACAAATTTCAGTAGTTTTCATACATCAGACTGACTCAAATAACAAAATTATTTGTCCGCATCAACTAAAACTGACCATATTTGCACTTTATTATGTTATCTTTATAGCCTCATAGTATATGAGTTATATTTTCATGTAAGAATGGATTGTATAATACAAATGATATCAATATTGGCACATAATGACTAAAAAATTTTCTTCGCATCAATTTAGAGTGCCAGCATGTCCTCTTTTATTAAAAATATTGAATCGTAAACAAATTTCAGTAGTTTTTATACATCAGACTGACTGGAATAACAAACAGATTTGTCCACATCAACCAAAACTGACAATATTTGCACTTTATTATGTAAATCTTTATAGCCGCATTGTAAATGAGTTATATTTTCATATAAGGATGGATTGTATAAAACAAATGATAGCAATATTGGAATGTTATGACTAAAAAATTTTGTTCTCATCAATTTAGAGTGCCAGTATGTCCTCCTTTTATTCAAAATATTGAATTGTAAACATATTTCAGTAGTGTTCATACCTCGAACTGACTCGTATTACAAAATTATTTGTCCGCATCAACCAAAACTGACCATATTTGCACTTTATTATGTAAATCTTTATAGCCGCATAGTAAATGAGCTATATTTTCATGTAAGGATGGATTGAATACACAAATGCTAGCAATATTGGCACATAATGACTTAAAAAAAATGTTCGCATCAATTCAGAGTGCCAGCATGTCCTCTTTTTATTCAAAATATTGAGTTGTAAACATATATCAGAAGTTTTCATACATCAGACTGACTCAAATAACAAAATTATTTGTCCGCATCAACCAAAACTGACCATATTTGCACTTTATTGTGAAAATCTTTATAGCCGCATAGTAAATGAGTTATATTTTCATGTAAGGATTGATTGAATACACAAATAATAGTAATATTGGATTATAATGACTAAAAAAATTTGTTCTCATCAATTTAGAGTGCCAGTATATACTCCTTTTATTCACAATATTGAATTGTAAACATATTTCAGTAGTGTTCATACCTCAAACTGACTCGTATTACAAAATTATTTGTCCGCATCAACCAAAACTGACCATATTTGCACTTTATTATGTAAATCTTTATAGCCGCATAAGTAAATGAGTTATATTTTCATGTAAGGATGGATTGTATAATACAAATGATATCAATATTGGCACAAAATGACTAAAATTTTTGTTCGCATCAATTAAGAGTGCCAGCCTGTCCTCTTTTTATTCAAAATATTGAGTTGTAAACAAATATCAGTAGTTTTCATACCTCAGACTGACTTGCATAACAAAATTATTTGTCCACATCAACCAAAACTGACCATATTTGTACTTTATTGTGTTAATCTTATAGTCACATAGTAAATCAGTAATATTTTTATGTCAGTAGTTCGTGATGGTTTATATTTTAAACAAAACTATTTAACAGCATCATTCAACACTCACATGACCGATTTATGTACACTGTACTTAATAATGAAAAGTATGAGTAGTTCTCTTCTTGGAATATAGTATACTGTTAAGAGAGGTTGGGTAGGAAGGGTCCTGGTCCCGAAATCCAGGGCTTAAATACACGAAATCCCGAGGTCCCGAATTTAAAGAAATTTAGATCCCGAAATTCGAAAAAAGAATTCCCGGATCTTGAAACGGTCAATCCCTAAATCATGAGCTTAAACACACCCGATCCCGGAGTCCCGATAACGGTCCAATCCCTCCTTTGTTAATATATTATGTAAGTTGATTGATTTGTTTGTAGCATAACGTCCAGTGGTAATATTTCATTCATGTTCAAATCGAGTATATTTTTCGGACGTCACAAATATCATTCATAATCGTTATGGATAAGTCTGTTTAAATTGAAGAGATGGTATAAATGTACATACTTATACAACACGTTATTAATATCCCTTGCAATACACTGTACAATTTCCGTTTGAACATTTGACAAAACAGAAGCTGAAATCATGTAAATCCATGTGAATTACGATTAAAAATAATGTATTAAATGCATCGAGTTAGGAATTCGAAGAAACAGTTAAAAATGGGGAACGAAGCAACGTAAACAATGATGTTTATATCCCATCATATACAAATATTTTCCCGATGTGTTGGATAACCTTTCTATCGGCCTCGATATTTGTACATGTAACTTTTGAAAATAAAATATAGAAAATCTGCTTATCAGTATAGTTATAGAAACTATTTTTTTAAAATTTAATAAAATTAATATTTCGAATTAAAATTAAGTGTTTTTGAATTGTTCTGGTTTGAAACACATATACGTAAAGTTTTGAGATAACAGTCGTTTTAATAAAATAAATGTTCAAATGAACACGAAGTTTATTTCTTAATTTACACGATCAGTTAACGCGAAAAGTAAACGCGCGTTTACTTCCAAGTGCACGTAAAAATACATTAATGAAATCTGTAGTAATCGCCCGTTTACTTTTAAGTGCACGTAAAAATAAATTTGTGAAATCTGAAGTAAACGCCCGTTTACTACTGACTAAACGGACACAGAGTGAACGCCCGTTTACTCGGATAGACATTAGAAATTTCCATTTTGACCGCGTTAACGTAATTATAGTAAACGCGCGTTTACTAGTAAACGCGAAAATTGAAGTTAACTAACGAAATATGTGCACGCGGCGTTAACTTGCGTTTACTTTATGTAATGCTTGGTCTGCACCCAACTGTATATATACAAAAAAGATATAATTTGAAACTGTACGTGACATATTGTCAACCAGAAGTCACTTATTATATGACCCGTATTTCACTAAAAAACTTTTGTTTCTGATTAGTATTAAAATAAACGTTCATAATTCACTGAAAGTGATTTTTTTTATAACCGACATTGATGAAAGTGCCGTTACGGTAGTAAACAAGAAGTTTCTACTTTTTACCTGTATTTTCTTAGCAACCAATATAAAAAATAAGGAGATGTGGTATGATTGTCAATGAGACAACTATCTATAAGAGTTCAGATGAAGTGGATGCAAGCAATTATAGGTAATCGTAAGGCCTTCAACAATGAGAAAAACCCATACTGTATAGTCGGCTATAAAAGCCTCCTACAAGAAAAATGGGAATCAATGCAAAAGAGAAAACTAACGGCTTTATTTATAACAAACCAATTTTCGAAAAAAAAAAAATTTGACAGACATGAACCAACACCAATTACTAAACTGCAGGCTCCGTCTCGGGACAATCACACAAAGAATGTGGTGGGGTTAAACAAATTTGTGAGCGCTCATCCTTAACTGGAACAGTGATGTAACAGAACAACATAAATACAAACCGTAAAAATTAGCAGCAATTGGCTAAACATAAAAGATCGGTACGAGGCACAACAACTTCAAAGTTTATTCAATGGTGAAACGATAGTCAATTGTTCCCTGAACTAGCTAGCTATTTCAATTATTTTCAAAAGTGATTATAATACCAAATGAAAATGCATTTCAGATGAGTTTAAAGCTAGAACTACTTTCAATTATCATTGAGACCGTCATTGTGACAGTAGCAGCGCAAAGTAAGTAATATTAAAAAAAAATATATGCACCATTACATATTGAAATGTATCTATCAGATGGTAGTACATGAACATGCATACGTCAAACTGATGATATGATGTCTTTCTCGCTTTGTCGGTATAATGGCTCCTGCAATCATGATCTGTCATCGAACACCAAGTAAAATGAACTAAAATATTTACAGCAGGTTTAGTTATTCGAGCTCACTTTCAATATCATTTGAAATTGTTAGCTAAAATTCTTTTATCTTTGTCTGTTTACGTAACTTTGTTTTTGTTTGTTTACTACTTTTATTGTTAAGTTACGTGTTTTGCGTTTAAACTGTTTTTTAATGACAGATCTTTAAACGTTACTGCCTACTAGTATTTAGACACAAGTTTAATAGACTTGGACGATATAGACCTTGACATATTGTATAAACTTTAACAATGTATATCATATTTGTTTTTCGTTATTCTTTTGTTTCTAACCCGGGGTTTTAATTATTTTACAATAATTATTGATATTTCAGGGCCTTTTATAATTCATTTTGCGGTATGGGTTTTACTCATTGTTGAAGCCGTGCTGTGAACTTATGTTGTCGATGACAACATCTACGTCAATTGGTCTGTGGTGGGGTGTTGTCGCAATGGCAATCATACCACATCTTTTTATACGCCCGTCAAAATGTAAACATGTCGCACCGTAACTTGAGAACAACTTGTCCAAATTTCATGAAACTTTACATAGTTGTTTCTTATGATTATCAAACGATCTGTATACTTTTTGGTGAAAATAAGATAAAAACTTTTTGAGTTACGGGACCTTGTAACTAAAAATGGGGTGTGTTTTTTCACATGTCGCGCCGTATCTCAAAAACAATTTATGATTATTGCTTAAAACTTTACAAACTTCTTAGTTATATTAATCTAAAGATCTGTATACTTTTTGGTGATGATTCAATTTTTTTTTATAGTTATTGAGTTTTTTAAAAAAAAAAGGGGGGGGGGGGTTTCACATATCGCGCCGTATCTCAGAAACTATTTATGATTTATGATAATACAAATGATATCAATATTGGCACATAATGACTAAAAAATTTTCTTCGCATCAATTTAGAGTGCCAGCATGTCCTCTTTTATTAAAAATATTGAATCGTAAACAAATTTCAGTAGTTTTTATACATCAGACTGACTGGAATAACAAACAGATTTGTCCACATCAACCAAAACTGACAATATTTGCACTTTATTATGTAAATCTTTATAGCCGCATTGTAAATGAGTTATATTTTCATATAAGGATGGATTGTATAAAACAAATGATAGCAATATTGGAATGTTATGACTAAAAAATTTTGTTCTCATCAATTTAGAGTGCCAGTATGTCCTCCTTTTATTCAAAATATTGAATTGTAAACAAATTTCAGTACTTTATATACATCAGACTGACTCGAATAACAAAATTATTATTCCGCATCAACCAAAACTGACCATATTTGCACTTTATTATGAAAATCTTTATAGCCGCATAGTAAATGAGTTATATTTTCATGTAAGGATTGATTGAATACACAAATAATAGCAATATTGGATCGTTATGACTAAAAAAATTTGTTCTCATCAATTTAGAGTGCCAGTATTGTCCTCCTTTTATTCAAAATATTGAATTGTAGACATATTTCAGTAGTGTTCATACCTCAAACTGACTCGTATTACAAAATTATTTGTCCGCATCAACCAGAACTGACCATATTTGCACTTTATTATGTAAATCTTTATAGCCGCATAAGTAAATGAGTTATATTTTCATGTAAGGATGGATTGTATAATACAAATGATATTAATATTGGCCCATAATGACTAAAAAGTTTTGTTCGCATCAATTTAGAGTGCCAGCATGTCCTCTTTTTATTCAAAATATTGAATCGTAAACAAATTTCAGTAGTTTTTATACATCAGACTGACTGGAATAACAAACTGATTTGTCTGCATCAACCAAAACTGACCATATTTGCACTTTATAATGTAAATCTTTATAGCCGCATAAGTAAATGAGTTATATTTTCTTGTAAGGGTGGATTGTATAAAACAAATGAAAGCAATATTGGAACGTTATGACTAAAAAAATTTGTTCGCATCAATTAAGAGTGCTAGCATGTCCTCTTTTTATTCAAAATATTGAATCGTAAACAAATTTCAGTAGTTTTCATACCTCAAACTGACTCATATAACAAAATTATTTGTCTGCATCAACCAAAACTGACCATATTTGCACTTTATTATGAAAATCTTTATAGTCGCATAGTAAATGAGTTATATTTTCATGTAAGGATTGATTGAATACACAAATAATAGCAATATTGGATTATAATGACTAAAAAATTTTGTTCTCATCAATTTAGAGTGCCAGTTTGTCCTCCTTTTATTCAAAATATTGAATTGTAAACATATTTCAGTAGTGTTCATACCTCAAACTGACTCGTATTACAAAATTATTTGTCCGCATCAACCAAAACTGACCATATTTGCACTTTATTATGTAAATCTTTATAGCCGCATAAGTAAATGAGTTATATTTTCATGTAAGGATGGATTGTATAATACAAATGATATCAATATTGGCACAAAATGACTAAAATTTTTGTTCGCATCAATTAAGAGTGCCAGCCTGTCCTCTTTTTTATTCAAAATATTGAATTGTAAAAAAATTTCAGTAGTTTTCATACATCAGACTGACTCTAATAACAAAATTATTTTTCCGCATCAACCAAAACTGACCATATTTGCACTTTATTATGTAAATCTTTATAGCCGCATAGAAAATGAGCTATATTTTCATGTAAGAATGGATTGAATACACAAATGATAGCAATATTGGCATATAATGACTAAAAAAAATGTTCGCATCAATTGAGAGTGCCAGCATGTCCTCTTTTAATTCAAAATATTGAGTTGTAAACAAATATCAGTAGTTTTCATACATCAGACTGACTCGAATAACAAAATTATTTGTCTACATCAACCAAAACTGACCATATTTGCACTTTATTATGTAAATCTTTATAGACTCATAGTAAATGAGTTATATTTTCATGTAAGGATGGATTGTATCATACAAATGATATCAATTGTGGCATATAATGACTAAAAAATTTTGTTTGCATCAATTAAGAGTGCTAGCATGTCCTCTTTTTATTCAAAATATTGAATCGTAAACAAATTTCAGTAGTTTTCATACATCAGACTGACTCAAATAACAAAATTATTTGTCCGCATCAACTAAAACTGACCATATTTGCACTTTATTATGTTATCTTTATAGCCTCATAGTATATGAGTTATATTTTCATGTAAGAATGGATTGTATAATACAAATGATATCAATATTGGCACATAATGACTAAAAAATTTTCTTCGCATCAATTTAGAGTGCCAGCATGTCCTCTTTTATTAAAAATATTGAATCGTAAACAAATTTCAGTAGTTTTTATACATCAGACTGACTGGAATAACAAACAGATTTGTCCACATCAACCAAAACTGACAATATTTGCACTTTATTATGTAAATCTTTATAGCCGCATTGTAAATGAGTTATATTTTCATATAAGGATGGATTGTATAAAACAAATGATAGCAATATTGGAATGTTATGACTAAAAAATTTTGTTCTCATCAATTTAGAGTGCCAGTATGTCCTCCTTTTATTCAAAATATTGAATTGTAAACATATTTCAGTAGTGTTCATACCTCGAACTGACTCGTATTACAAAATTATTTGTCCGCATCAACCAAAACTGACCATATTTGCACTTTATTATGTAAATCTTTATAGCCGCATAGTAAATGAGCTATATTTTCATGTAAGGATGGATTGAATACACAAATGCTAGCAATATTGGCACATAATGACTTAAAAAAATGTTCGCATCAATTCAGAGTGCCAGCATGTCCTCTTTTTATTCAAAATATTGAGTTGTAAACATATATCAGAAGTTTTCATACATCAGACTGACTCAAATAACAAAATTATTTGTCCGCATCAACCAAAACTGACCATATTTGCACTTTATTGTGAAAATCTTTATAGCCGCATAGTAAATGAGTTATATTTTCATGTAAGGATTGATTGAATACACAAATAATAGTAATATTGGATTATAATGACTAAAAAAATTTGTTCTCATCAATTTAGAGTGCCAGTATATACTCCTTTTATTCACAATATTGAATTGTAAACATATTTCAGTAGTGTTCATACCTCAAACTGACTCGTATTACAAAATTATTTGTCCGCATCAACCAAAACTGACCATATTTGCACTTTATTATGTAAATCTTTATAGCCGCATAAGTAAATGAGTTATATTTTCATGTAAGGATGGATTGTATAATACAAATGATATCAATATTGGCACAAAATGACTAAAATTTTTGTTCGCATCAATTAAGAGTGCCAGCCTGTCCTCTTTTTATTCAAAATATTGAGTTGTAAACAAATATCAGTAGTTTTCATACCTCAGACTGACTTGCATAACAAAATTATTTGTCCACATCAACCAAAACTGACCATATTTGTACTTTATTGTGTTAATCTTATAGTCACATAGTAAATCAGTAATATTTTTATGTCAGTAGTTCGTGATGGTTTATATTTTAAACAAAACTATTTAACAGCATCATTCAACACTCACATGACCGATTTATGTACACTGTACTTAATAATGAAAAGTATGAGTAGTTCTCTTCTTGGAATATAGTATACTGTTAAGAGAGGTTGGGTAGGAAGGGTCCTGGTCCCGAAATCCAGGGCTTAAATACACGAAATCCCGAGGTCCCGAATTTAAAGAAATTTAGATCCCGAAATTCGAAAAAAGAATTCCCGGATCTTGAAACGGTCAATCCCTAAATCATGAGCTTAAACACACCCGATCCCGGAGTCCCGATAACGGTCCAATCCCTCCTTTGTTAATATATTATGTAAGTTGATTGATTTGTTTGTAGCATAACGTCCAGTG